GAATTAAATCGTGCAGACGAGTCGAATCCGGCATTAAGCATTTTGTACGGAATGAGAACCATTTGTATCTTTTGATCATCGTAGACCATCGGTTTGGAACGTTCATATCGTCAGCTATTCTAAATTTTAACTTTCTGGAACTGGTAAGTTTATAAAAATAAATATAACTATATTATATTATTAATACATGGCCTCTTATTTCTACTCGAATAGAAAAAATTGGTTTAATTTGATAAAGGAATAATGAATATGATTATAATATTGCAAAATAGCTGGAATTGCAATTATATTGAAATTCTATTTTTAAACTATAGTAAATACATATACAGTATGGTGGAAATGAAAGGAATAATTCGTTATTTCGTAAACCGGAGACTTTAAGGAAAAATCCTGAAACCCGTCGATTTTTATTTTTAAATAAGCTATTCGTAAGAATACATTTTTATTTTTGACGTCATCTATGTGAGCGTGATGACGTCATTGCTAAAATTTTTAAATAGAAAGGGGGGTATTGTAATACATCATTTGAAAGGTCTTTTAAATACCTATTCAGCCATATCAATATGTCTGAGTATTTGATGTTTGTAATTGTTTAAAAAAATTATTAAATATTTATTATTACAATAAATATTTATTAAGTATTGATATGATGTATTATTGACACCCAAAAATAAATTTTATAAAGGCCATCACTGGTAATGAAATGTCTTTTTTATCTACTTTTTACCTTTTTAAAAAAAACTAGTTACCTTATCAATATGAACATTGATAGTTGGACATTCAAACTTAATTATCTTTCTGTCAAGTGATTAATAGTATTATTGTAGTAAACGTATTCAAAAAGTCTTTGTATCTTTGAACATGAAGCTAACTGAAACGCAAAGAATTGAAATTCTCATAATGATTGGTTATGGAGATAAAACACGTACGCAGAAAGAAGTATGTGCGTTATTTAATAATAAATACCCCCGTCGAGAACCAATTTCACAATCCACTGTAAGCAAAATTGAGAAAAAATTTAGAGAAACGGGTCATGTTAAAGACCTTCCTAAAGGTAGTAGAAAACCAATATCTGAAAACCAACAAGTAGACGTTCTGTTAGCTTTTCAAGATAATCCTCATAACAGTTCACGGCAAGTAGCATTAGATAATGACATGGACCATTCAACAGTTCTTAAACAGCTAAAGAAGGAAAAGTGGCATCCCTACAAAGTAAGTTTAGTACAAGAACTTATGGAAGATGATTTTGATAGACGAATTGAATTTTGTGACATTATAATGGAACGAAATAACAGAGATCCGATGTTTTTAAAAAGATTATTTTCTCTGATGAAGCTACATTTCTACTAAACGGTCATGTCAATCGTCAAACTTATCGGTACTGGGCTACGGAAAATCCACACTGGATGCAAGAGTACCGTACTCAATACCCAGAGAAAATTAATGTTTGGGTGGGAATAATAGATAATAGGTGTATTGGACCATACTTTTTCGAAGAAAACTTAACAGGTCCTCGATATTTAGAATTTCTTCAAAATTTCTTGCTTCCAGAATTGAACCGGTTGTTTCCAAACAGAAATGATTTATGGCTACAGCAAGATGGTGCGCCTCCACACTATGCTGTCTTGGTACGCAACTACTTAAACAACGTCTTTCCAAATCGGTGGATAGGTCGAAGAGGAACAATAGAATGGCCGCCTAGGTCACCTGATTTGACTCCTCTTGATTTCTTTTTATGGGGATATTTAAAAAGTAAGGTGTATCAAAATAGACCACAAAATATTAATGAACTGAAAGAAAGAATACGTAATGAGGTTGTTCAAATAACTCCGGAAGTTTTAGAGAATGTTAGAGAAGAGTTCGCGGCACGCCTTTCTCATTGTATTTTAGCTGAAGGTAAACAATTTGAGCACTTAATTTAGTTAATTAAGATTAAAACAATGCCAAAAGGGGACAAAATATGTAACGAAACTAAACAACTAATGAAGGAAAACAACTACTAACGCAAAACAAACGCAAGACTCAAGCATACATAGAACTTAATAAAACAATTAGAAAATAACTAAAAACGCGACCCAAAAAAAATTAAACGCAACTTAATGGAGCAAGTCATTGCAAAGAACAGATGCCTAAACATATCTAGCACCAACACTGGGTGTTCAACAAATTATCATAATTAAAGACACTAATAATAAGGACGGAAAGGATAAATATAAAATAACAAAGATAGTCGAAAACTTCATGAATCAACAAAGCAGAACGCCAAAAGATAAATAAAATACCTCTTCACAGGTACTACCAAAGGTAAAGGGATTCTAAATACAAAAAGGCTTTAAATAAAAGAGCTATAAAAATATTAAAAGCTCTAGGACATGACGGTATTGAAAGCTGTTGAAAACAAACATCACAGTAATAATCCTTTTACTAACACAGCTATTTAATAGATGGCTAGAAGGAGAGTGTAGTAATACTTTTAAACAGAAAAGAATACAAATGTGACCTTAAGAATTATAGAGCTAATAAGGTTGCTAAGTCAATTATACAAACTGTTTAGGAAAGGTATTAACAATCAGTTGACTTAAAAAAAATGGATAGTAACCAATCTGTTAAACAGGCTGGCTTGTGCAAAGAATAAAATACATCAGATCATGCGCTGACAATGAGAACACTGATAGAGAAGGCACATGAGTACCAACTACCCGTATTTATTGTCTTTTTAGACTACGAAAATAAATTTGATAGTATCGACATGTGTGTCATAGGAATAATGTAGAAATGATACGCGATATAGGAACATAATACATAATATATATGAAAACGCAACTATTGTAGTACAACCAGATGAAAACAAATCACCTCCCCATGAAGAAAGGAGAGACCAGGAGACGTAATATCTCCAATACTTTTTAATCTAGTTCTAGAAGACTTTAAAACTACAAATTAGTCAACACACGATATCAACGTTAATGGCAACATGTTAAACCACCTCAGTTTCGCTGAAGACACAGTGATTATAGTGAGCATATTCGAGGAATTACAAATTATGATGAAGGAACTTACATACAGACTCCTAATACGTTGGCCTAAAAATGAATATGACAAAAACAAAAACAATGACATACACATACACGACCTCAGATCTATAACTATAAATAGCAGTAAGAAGAACAAGTTCAGGAATATATCTACCTATGCTAAATTCTAAAACTTGACAAACAGAACCAAAGTGCGAAAATCACTAAAGAGCAAAACTGTCGTGGGGATAATTTGGAAAACTAAGTTGGATTCTTAAGAACCGCAAAATACCTTAAAACTGGAAGAGCAAGATGTTCAACCAGTGCATCTGTCTTATCATGACATATCAATGTCAAACCTGGAGCCTAACCAAGGCAAATATAAATAAACTAACCATAACAGAAAGGACAATGGAAAAGGCAAAGGTATGCATATCACTGTTAGATAAAAAAGGAACTATTAGGTAAGATCAGAAACAAAAGTCGAGGATATCACAACAAAAATTGCCAAAGTTAAATGGAGCTTCGCAGGTCACACTACCAGACAAAAAGGCCAACTTTGGTACTCCACAGTACAACATTGGAGAATTTACAACGGTAGACGACCAAGAGGAAGACGAGATGGGTAGATGACATAAAAATAATATACGGAACAAATTGGAAGTATTTTGCTCAGGATAGAGATCGATGGAAGGAGTTGGGATATGGTCTCCAGTTCACTGTCATACACCTAGTTGTATCAGTTTTGTTTTAGACTCAGAAAAGTGCAGTCCATGAGCTATTCTGAATGTATTCATTTGACAGTTTTTGGAGTGAAAGTATACTTAACCGAGCGTCCCTTGAGAGAAACTTATGGAGCCTAAACATTTATGCAACATGTTTTATCTCATCGAGATGCCTTTTCAACGTTTTGTTTTTTTGCGCTTCTTCCTTATTACTATCTAGTCAGCGATTTGCGATCATCATACTACTGATATGATTTTTTAACGCCCTAAATTTTCGTCAGAATTCTGCCCTTTAATTTATACTATTTTTATTCTACTAGGGCACTTATTCATTGGGATTCCTACTATGTGATTACGCTTCCCAGTCAGTTTTTAAAACGGCTACAATAAGTTTTCTTGATAGAGTAATTACCTGTTATTTCAAAATAGATATGTCGACATATGTCTGAACAAGACACCTCACAGCTACAATAGGTAGTAATAAAACGTCTTGAAACTCTAATATTTTTCTTTGTTATACCATTATTAAATTTTATACATGATACTGTGGATACTATTTCGTAACTTTAAACATTTCACCTCTCTACTTTTGTACTGCTTGAAAAGTTGTTGCGACACTATACACAAGTTTAAAAATCTAAAAATAAAAATAGATTTAGAAACTTTAAAAATATAAAATTTGCACAAAAATAATTCTCCAGACGAGAAAATGCAATCAATTAAATAGAATTTTACGTCTACTTTTATGTATTTACCTTTAGGAGCGTTTGGCGATTAGGATTAAAATAACCCAACCATTTGGCTGTAAAATTTTGTTTTAAAATGATTAGTAGCATCAATAATAGTCTTTTGTTACTGTTATCCCAGTCATACCAATTGCAGCATATAAGGTTTCTATACATACTATTTAACTAAAACGAAATATAAATATTTGATGGAAATTTAAACGTTATACGTGACATGTATGCTTAGAATTTGGTGACTGTGGCTAGAAAATTCTAAAAGGTCACAACAAAAGTGTCATCTAATCTTATGAATATCATTTTCATTTATTTGGTGTTGTTCATAAATGGTTAACATTCAATGGTTTTAAGATCTCCTACTCCAAGTCTCCTACTCTCTTCCTGTCCAAGAGACCAGCAACAATATTAAAAAACGATAATAACGAAATAATTATGGGTACAGAATACAAACTAGAGAGATGAGAAAGAATACATACAACCTCTTTTCGACGACGATAGACCTTGTTCTGCACCATCCA